CGTTTCCGTTTCTATTTCCTTGACGAGTAACAAAAACGCAAGAAAATGACGGGAAAAAAACGCCGATTCTGATGGGTTTTTTTTGTTTGGTCTAACACAGTAGTCGAATTTTTTCCTGCTAATTTTTTTTTCTTTTTGGTTCGTCAATTTTATAAATATTTTTGGTAAAGCTTCTGAGATTTTTTGTTTGTTTCCTTGTTCGGGTTGTTCGAGAATCTTGTAATGGAGGAGGTCATCAATTCCATAATTGGTTACTTACTACTGCGATTTCTTTCTTACTAATCTCGAAAATTTAGTATACAAAAAAAAAAAAGTGATAGTTATGGAGATAAAAACAAAAAACTTGATAATATATTTTTCTTGTGGAAAACTACAGTTAAAGGAGTGGGTAAGAGAAAAGATGAGATTGTATATGCTTTTTATGATAAAGCAAAGAAGAAGAAAAAAAATCTCAAGGAAATGTTTGTTTGGTAGTGTCATGATTTGGTTTTGTTTGTTAAAATTTCAATTTTTTTCAACAGTGTGATGATTTTTAATTTTCATGTAATGAGTGCTCTTAACCTCCTTGCTTTATCATGTTCTTACCCCACAATTTGTGCTACTAATTTACTCTTTTTGTCTCCCAAATTTTGATCCTTTTAGTTTCTTCCGTTGTAAAGTCGATTGCTTTATTAATTGAGAATCCTAAAAAAAGGTCATTACTGGATTCATTTCTCAGGAAAGAAACAGAGTCAGAGGTCGTCAAGGTCTTCTTCTTCTGAGTATAATTCTTGCCACTGCGAAGCTTTGAGTGAAAACAAGGTATGTGTTACTCTTTAAGATGTAGTTTCAATGAGAGGAAATGTTTGGTTCTAGTTGTTGTTTGAAAGTGACTTCTTGGCTCATAATTGTAGTTGCAGCCTCATCAAAGCAGTACTGGAGTACCGATGAAAAGTTTGTTGGCACAAGAAATGTCAAAGCAGAAAGAATCTAAAAAGAGATCACCAAGCATTATAGCGAGGTTGATGGGTCTCGATGTCTTGCCGCCTCAGAGTTCTTCTTCTCATAGACAACACAAGTCTGTAGAGAATCAGCAAGGCAGGAGTGGTGGTGGAAGCAGCACTTCTTATGATGGTAATAAATCTCTTAGAAGGAGCTCAAAGGGTGAGCAGAAGTTTAAAGATGTTTTCGAAGTTATGGACGCAAAGAAGGCAGAGAGCAATAGAAACTTATATCATCAAGGGAGGGTGAATGCTGCTAATCTCACCCAGGCAGAGATGGCTTTTATACGGCAGAAGTTCATGGAGGCTAAGCGGTTATCAACGGATGAGAGATTTCGTAACTCTAAAGAGTTTAACGATGCCCTTGAGGCTCTAGACTCTAACAAGGACCTCTTACTGAAGTTTCTTCAGCACCCAGATTCATTATTCACAAAACATCTGCATGACCTTCAAAGCGTACCTCACAAGCCACAGTACAGTCAAGCTCCATCTTTGAAGTCGCCGCAAAACAGCCAGAGGCATGTAGATGGTCTGAAAACTCAGAAAGTTGATAGGGACTTGTTAAGGAAGAGTCAAAGGTCACCTCATCAGCACGGTGGTGGTAGTGGTTGTTCTAGCCGTTGTCATACTAGGCATGTTTCTTATGATACACTTGACTTACCAATTGAGGAGCTGGGAAAGACTAGTGAGTCGCAGCCTACCAAGATTGTTGTTCTGAAACCTAACCTTGGCGAGCCACGTTATGCTGGTAGAACTTTTGCATCGCCAAGCTCTTCTTCCGATGAGTTCAGAGCAGATCGTAGGCTTCCATGCACCAGCAATCATGGCAGGCAGAAAAGTTACGAAGATATTCGCCATTCAAGACAGAATTCAAGAGATTCCGGAGAAAGCTCCAAGATTATGTCTAGGCAAAGGAAGGCTAGCTGTGGCAATGGTAGTGCTATGAGTTTTGAGACTTCTGGATTTAGAGGATATGCAGGGGATGAAAGCTCGTCAGGGAGTGATTCCGCAAGTGAAACAGAGTTAGTTCCAGTAACTTCAAGAACAAGAGCCGCCTTTAACCGTAAGAACTACCATCGATCTTTGCATTCAAAATCAACAACATCATCTGTGAGTAGGGAAGCCAAAAGGAGACTGTCAGAGAGATGGAAGCTGACACACAAGTTTGAGCAAGAAATAGAAATTAGTAGAAGCGGCACATTAGCTGAAATGCTTGCAACTTCAGATAGAGAGGCAAGGCCAGCGAGTTTTAATGGACTCATTTTCGAAGAGGGAATTAGTAAAAGAGTTGAGAGCAATCTTCAGTGGTCTGAATTGCAAGAACCGGTTGGAATCAGCAGTAGGGATGGTTGGAAAGGATCCTGGTCAAGGAAGTTTTCAAAATCCAAAACCATCATGAACCAGGAAAGCACTTCTGGATACACTATAGTGCTGCCTAAGTTGTTGATCGACCGAGATGAATTAGTGAAGGGGAACTCTTCTCATCACGTGGAGTCTTACTTGTCGAGCAAATCAAGACCAGGTAGTAATAAATCTCATTCATCATACAATAGTTCACCAGAGGTCAACATCAGCCCAAGTTTATGCAAATTCCTTTATACGAACGATGAGATTCGTAAAGAGAAGCTCTCTCCTTCTAAAGCACGTAGCAGTTTCTCAGTCGATGCAAATTCAGACACTGAGGATGACTCAACTTCTGATGATATCAAGACGGCAATGTCTTCTGAAGCTCCAGATTTGTCAACTGTCACCACGTTAACTGACCCTGTAAGTAAGGATGATGTTTCAAGATCATGGTCTAGAGCATATGTTTTACATTTCGATTGCTAAACTAGAATCGACAGTTTGTTGTAATGACAGATATCTAATTGTTTGCTGATGTTCTAGGATATCTCAAGGATTCCAACTGAGGATGTGAGTCATTCTTCGGTTTCGGTTCCTGAACCACAATCTCGTGAAACCTCAAAGGAAGGAGATCAACCAAGTCCGGTTTCAGTTCTAGAAGCTTCTTTCGACGATGATGCTTCATCAACTTCTGAATGCTTTGAAAGTGTTAGCGCGGATCTTCAAGGTAATCAATCAATGCTTGTCACTTGTCAGTATAGAATATATCTGTATCTTTAAAATTGTTAAGGTGTAAAGTATAACCACGAATTGACAATTGGTACTAGTCTATAAATGTTTGATTTGCTAAACCGTTATCTCTACGTTCCAGGACTCAGGATGCAACTTCAGCTCCTCAAACTAGAGTCAGCTGCTTACAATGAAGGTGCCATGCTTCTTTCGAGTGATGATGACACAGATCAAGAAGAATCATCAACAATAACTGATGAGACTGTGATCACACGTGAGGTCGGAGAAGAAGACTGGAAGACACTGTACTTAGTTGATCTCCTAGCCAACTCGAGCTTCGGTGACTCAGACCACAACACTGTCATGGAAACACCTGTGGATCCATCTTTGTTTCAGGATCTCGAGAAGAAATACTCAAGGCTGAAAACCTCAACCCGGCTAGAAAGGAAGTTCCTTTTCGACCAGATCAGCAGAGAGCTTATCCAAATGCTAAAGCAGTTTTCGGATCCACACCCGTGGATCAAATCCACGAGGATGGTCCCGAAGTGGGATACAAACATGATACAAGAGAAACTGCGCGATTTGGTCACAAGAAAAGACGAGAAACCAAGCAAAGATGATGATGTGGAGGAGAAGGAGTTGCAATGGCTGAGCTTGGAAGATGACACTGAAATCATAGGTAGAGATATTGAGGAAATGCTGACTGATGAACTCTTAGCAGAGCTTGTACTAGATGCAATCTTCTAGAAAAGTTACATAATAATTATCTGTTACATACTTTCTTTAAAACAAGTGGAAAATGCAATATGTAATGTAATGACAGTTTCATCATATGCGAGTGATGATGAATAAAGAAGCATGTGTCCCTGAATAAAAAAAGCATCAATCATCATCATGTGAAAGTTTTGGTCTTTCTTAGTGATTAGTGAACATTGAAACTGGAACAGGAAGGACAATACAAATAGTACACAAAAGTGTGAGTTCTTTCTTTTCTAGAATTCCGGATTTGCCCTTGGGAGTGATGATTGAGGTGGTGTCCAGAATTGGGCATTTTTGACTTTTGAGAGGCAACCCAATACTTCCAAAGGAGTGATGTCTCCAGTCACAGTTACCTTCTTTGATGCAAAATCTATGTTGAATGATGTCACACCTACTTGTTGCCAAAAAACCATTATACAATTAGCTTAAACCAATCATTTACAATGGTACATAAACCAACCGGTTCCAAAAGGATGTACATTTCCCTCAATTTCTCAATCTTATTTCCATTTTTATGACTTTTTCAAGAATAAAAAACAACCAATGTAAGTTTGAATGAACTAAATACTTCTTTCATAAACCAAAATTAGCAGATACCCGAATCTAACTAGATTCAGACAGAATAAAACAAACAGATATAATAAATGTTCAAGACAATGTAAAACATACAAGATTTTTCATGATATCTTAAAAGCTATTTCAATAGTTATAAACTTTGTTAGATATTTCTCTATATCTTATTTCATATTTTGAATTAAGATAAATAAATATATTTTTTGAAAATAATCAAGCCGGGTACTCGGATATCCGAAATATTTGGGTCGAATGTGGATAGTGATTATACCATAATCTTCTCTACCAAAAAACCTAAAACCAAATGTGATATTGCACAAAACTTTCTTATAGTTTGGTAATTGGATCTGTTATACTAAATACAAGATCCCCTATAAGTAAAATATGTTGGTAATATGTTAACTTTACCTAAGAAGACAAGAATTCCCTCTTAAGTAAATTAAATACTGTAAAAACAGAGGGGAAAAAAAGTAAAAAACCTTGCATTCTGGATAGATGTTTCTTCACTTTGCCTTGACAACCTCTGCAGTGACAGTGAAGAGACACTCTAAGAACAACCACCTGCACTTGCACACAACAAAACACAACACACAACCACCCTTCAATCTCTCTTTATTTACATTCATGCCACTCATGTAACCCTAAACGAAAACTTTACACTTGCCTGGTCTGAACCTGAACCAGAAGAAGAAGTCTTCTTCTTCTCTTCAACATCATTAGAGCCTCTTCTTGGCCCAGAAGTTTCACCCTCCGTTACAACCACATCCTTACGGGAAGACTCGGATAAAGAAACCGGGTCGGATCCAAGAAGATACCTAGTAGAACCAGGAGGGGTACTTTTGGTCATATCAACACAACCAAAACTCTTCCTCGCTAAGCTAATATTTTCGCTGCTCATTAGCTTCAACAACGACCCTGAGTTGCTTCTCCTTCCTTTCTCCACCTGAACCATCTTCCCGTCGCC